CTTTTAAATTAAATAAGGCAAAGGTTTTTTTTGTTAAATTTTGTAGATTTAATTTCTGTTAAGTTTCAGTATTACTAAATTTGAACAATGTTCTATTCCAGTTTTTATTGGTCCGGTTATGTTTGGTATTAATAGTAATTAACTTTGAGTTCTCTTGAGTGCGCTTTTTGTTCTACTAAGGTGATAATGAATTTAATTTGAAATCCTTTTAGGGCTGAGTTTAAGTTCCTCTTGCTAAGCTCTAGCGCTGTCCAAATAAATTTCTATCAGGTTTGATTGTTATTTAATCTGAGGTATCATAAATTTTACTAGTGAGCTGTTCAGTGTTTTCCTTTGATGCATTTATTCTGTCATAAATACATCAATCTTTGAATATTACTGTTTTTATAGCCAGCTTTTCATATGCTTTACCATCTTTTGGTGTAATTATATGCAAGACACGTGTCATTTCAGGATCCTCCTTTTGTTCTCTAGCTGCTTCTGTATCTCTCAGACCAGACTACTCCTCTGGCTGGGCTCCGCACTCTGGCTCTATGGTTTGACCCAGTGCTGCCTCATCATTTTTAAGTATTTTTCAGAGTTCCAAGAAATGATATCTCAGCTTTGTGGGAAGCCTCCTCTAAACTGATGGCATTGTGACATCTACTCTAATCAGATGCAACCCCAATTATTATTACAGAACCACTCCAACATTCTGCTGGGTTTAAAGCATCTCTGTGCTGAGGAAATTTTGGAGGAGACAGCTCTTGCATGGTTCATTAGTCTGTCACCCCCAGACCTTTACTCCTAAGTGCTATTCTCAAGAGCTTTGTTTTAAATGACGTTCAGGGAATTCTCTCTCACTTAGAGCTTGGGTGGTGGCCAGGCCTTTGCTCTTCCTGGATGGGAATTGCCAACTGACCCAGATGTTTTCTGCATCAAAACTAGATTTGAGTTGGTTTGACTTGGCAATTTGACTCTCTAGATATGACAGTTGAACTCTTTTAAAGGGAGCTTGGGAATTATTATCTGGAAATAATTCTCCAAGTCCCCCCTGAATCGAGGTTTGTCAGCTGTTTGCAGACTCTGGGATGATGGTACATTATTGCAGAGATTGCTATTTACCTAATTCCACCTATGTTGTTAGCTTTGTCTGCTATTTGAAATATTCCTGATTGTTGTATCCATATTATTCCTAATTGCTCTAAGTTTCTTGTCCACTGCATGTATTATTTTGCTATGATGTTTCTTCATACTCATAACAAAAGACATGCATCTCATTCTTAAAAAACAATAAAGAAAAGGAATGAATGCCGTAAGAACGTTCAAATAATGCAATATGTACATGAGAAATTTGGATGACTAATCATTTTGAATAACGCAATATTTACATGAGAAATTTGGAAAAAAGATCATCACATCTAAATCCCAATTGAGTGTACCACAGTGCAGCCTGATTGATTCATTAACTTCAGGAGAAGATGTGCCTGTGTTTCAGCAGCAGCAGCTCAAAGCAGTCACCTGTTCATTCCATCAGATATTGATCAGCTCTGAAAAAATGAGGCCCAGTGCAAAGAGAAATAACCTCATCACCTTGCAGCCTTTGCTTAAAAGGTTTCCTTGCAGCCCTTGTGGCCAGGGCAGGAACAGGAGGAGGACTGCCCAGACATGGCTGTGTCTGGACACTGACAGAGGCAATTTGCCAACAAAAGCCTCCTGGCATCCTCACGGTACAGAGCTCCTACGAACCTTCTCCAGTTATTCCCTGTTCCAGCACCCAGGAGGACATTCAGTGATGTCAAAGATCAACATTTCCAGCTCATAGACTTTCTCATACTTCTCAACTCATTGGAAACAATGGTCATTTCTTTCCATTTCCCTAAGAGACATTGGACATTATTCTTTTGTTTTCTCATGCTGCAAAACCCTGTGTCAATGACTTGATAGAATTTGGTAAGTTTTGTTGATTGTAATTGGTCTTTTATCTATCTTATCCCATATCTAACAGATAACCAGTGATAACCTTGATGAGATAATACCCTCACAAGAGTGAGCTGTTTCAACATCAGAACATAGGAGCCTTTTTTAAATGAACGAAAAGGGGGAGATGTCATAGACAGGTAGAATAATGATAAAAGAAAGGCCCTATGAAATCAGGCCTTGTTCTGCCATGTTAATAGCTGGCCTGCCATCACTTCTGAGTGCAGCTAAGCAGTTACAAGTTCCCATGTGAAGCCATTGTGAGAATGAGACTTTGTGAGCAATCTGTTCTGAGGGTGAAAAACAAATGCACCTGCAACAACAAGGGATTTGTCCCATGGGAATCAGTGAAGAGAACAGGTAAACAATACAATAGAGAGATCTGATGCACAAGTAAAATCTATTTTATTAACCAATAATAGAATAACTGATAAGAAATCTTTGAACTAACTAAAGTTGCACCACACAAGGTCCTTCAAACTGTGTAAAATGAGTTGTATGAATAAAGAATAAAGAGTTCTCCAGCTCAGCTGGGTCCTCTGGGATTTCAGTTCCCCCCTTCTTTGAGGCTTTGGGTTTCTCCTTCTTTGGGGCTTTGGGTTCCCTCTTCTTTGGGGCTTTGGGTTCCTTCTTCTGTGAGATTTTGGCTGCCTTCTTCTGTGGGATTTTGCTTTCCTTCCTCTCTGGGGCTTTGGTGTCCTTCTTCTCTGATGCTTTGGTTTCCTTCTTCTCTGGGATTTTGCTTTCCTTCCTCTCTGATGCATTGGTTTCCTTCCTTTCTGATGCTTTGCCTTTCTTCCTTTCTGATGCTTTGCTTTCCTTCTTCTCTGAGATTTTGGTTTCCTTCCTCTCTGATGCTTTGGTTTCCTTCTCCTCTGGGGCCTTGGTTTCTTTCTTCTCTGGGATTTTGGTTTCCTTCTTCTCTGGGGCCTTGGTTTCTTTCTTCTCTGGGATTTTGGTTTCCTTCTTTGGGATTTTGGTTTTCTTCCTCTCTGGGGATTTGGTTTCCTTTTTTGGGATTTTGGTTTCCTTCTTCTCTGGGGTCTTGGCTTTCCCCTTCTCTGGTTTTGCAGGTTGCTTTCCCACAGAGACACCCTTCTTTTCCTTCTTCTGCCTCTCTTCATCCTTCTGCCTCTCTTCCTTCTCTAAGGCTTTTGCCTCCTCCTCAAGCTTTTTAGCTGACTGCTTCAGCTCCCTTCTGCAGACAAAATAGAAACCATGGCTGAGAGTCCCTACCAGAAACTTGGGCTCCCTAGTCCTGGCTGGCCCTGCACTTCATTCCTTGACCCTGAGGCCATTTCCGTGAATTCTCCTCAACCCACAGAGGCTGGGAACATCCCAAGTGAGGCCATTGGTGGAAGGGGACCTCCAGGCCCAGCCAAACCTCAGCTTTGCCATCATAAGCTCTTGACTGTGCAAGCTCCCTCTGAAGGCACAGCCAGACCCCTCCAGCCCCTGCCCAAGGCTGATCCAGCAGCTCTCTGTGCTGCTGCCTGAAAATGCCCTTTGTCTCTTGGCTTCCCAGTTTAGAGCAGAGCACAGATTGCTGACATCTGCTCATCTCTCCTACAATTCTTACTCAGCTCATTCAGCCCCCTTCCTCCTGGGCATAGCTGAAGCATGATTTTAAAGAGTTCAGATTTCAGCTGAGGCTTAGAAGCAATTCCCATTGATCAGGATGTAAGTTAGACAGGCAGACCATAGGTTAATGATTATGAGATGCTTAAGCCGGAGCTGAATGTTCTATTGTTTACCATGAGGAGCTTCTTTCTAGAAGGAAGTGGAGGAAGTGAACTGTTATAAGAACATCTTGAAACCAGGAGAACAATGCTTAGGACCTGGGCTTGATGTCAATCAGTCACTAAGCAGGGGACCTTGGATCGTGCCAGAGGGTCACAGAGACCTGATGAAGACATTCCTGACTTCATCCCTTAAGACCACAGACCCAATTCGAGACCCAGTTCAAGGGAGGAATTGCACAGGTGTGAAGGACCAATGAGCTCATTTGAATACAGAGCGGGGATGGGAGGTGCTGGGCTTGTGCAGATGTATTGTATGTAAGATCTTGGGCAATAAAGAGAGGGCAAAGAACCTTGGGCAGCGCGGTCGCGCCTTTTAGGGACGGCTCTGGTGCCTCCCGCCGGTGTTAATAAACACACCACTGTCTAACTTTAATTAGTTATAGAGTCTGTGTCCGTGACCTTCGGTTTTAATGACTCCTAGCCTGCTCCTTCATGAGAACAATGCTATCAGTCAGAAAGCAAAGGCTGCAGGAACTCCTCTCCTGCAAGGCAGGCTCTTGTCAGCCAGATTTCCTGCTGGAACCCAGCTGTGACCAAGCAAACCAGTACTGGCTGCCATGGAAACCATTGGAAGCAGCCTCGTCCCTCTCCTCCCCATGAAACCAACTTCAGCCTGGCCTGAAGAAGTCCTGATGCACAGGCTGGCTTGAAGCAGCCTCCACTCCCAGCTCCACCCTTGGCCTGTGTGTCCTGAGCTGGGCTGCCTTGCTGGAGCTGAGCTTCTCCTGTGCTTGGCCACGGCTGCAGCTGCAGGGGAGCCTAAAGGACATGAGCTTTTCTGGATGCTGTCCCACCATAAGGAGAACCCTGGCAGATCAGCATTGCAAGGGCTTCATCTGGGGCAGCAGCAGGACCCAAAGCAAGGTTTGCTCTGTGCCCCACACCTGCCCATACCACAATGCCACTGTTTTGGTGAAGAAGGGAGATGATGAAGAAGATGCCACTCAACACCATGCACTTCAAGACACCTCTAGAGGCAGTGCCAAGGCAAGCCCAGAGCCCAGCTCCCTGCAGGCAGCAGCTAAGCCAGGAGGGCTCGGCACTCAAATAGAGAAGAAGATGTTGTGTCTCAACAGGAGAAGGTCCTTCCTCTCTTGGCAGCCAGGGAGCTCAGAGTGGCCCTCCCTGTGTTGCTGCTGGCCCTTGCTATGCAGCACCTCTGAGCTCAGAGTCCTTGGAGCAGGGAAGCCCTGCAGGGACAATAACCCATGGCAGAGCAGGAGCCCATGGAAGGCTGACTCACCTCTCCCTCAGAGGGGCCTGAGAGCCACAGTTGATCTCCCGGGGGCTCAGGGAGGAGCTGACACGTGAGGCCTCCCCGGGCACCAGCCCCTCGTAGCTGGGGCCTCCCTCCACGTGGCACAGCTCCGGGACACTGCAGGTGCTGCTGAGGTGGCCAGAGAAGGTGGAGGAGACCTGCTGGCTCTCTCCTGGCTGCAGCACACCTGGCACTGGCAGGATACTGAAAGCCTGGGTGGAAGACAGGAGAGATTGAGGTGCTGAGCATGGAAATGGATGCAGAAGAGCATCTTGGAGCAAAGTGCAGCTGTAGCCAGAGGGGCCTATTCCCCAAACACTGCCAGAATCACCCTCACCTCATCCTGCATCCATGCCACTGACCAGTGCAGGGACCATGGGGAAAATCTTCTCCCATCCTCACGGGTCAATGCATTAATTAGTACATTGCATGAAAGTGACCTGGGATGTCTCCTGGCAGTAGAAATTCTCTCTGATGCACAACTTGCCTTTAAAAAGTTTCAAAACTTCCTGCTTTTAGAAAAGGAGGAGACTCAGAGTGAGAGCTCTTGGAGCTGAGGGAAGGAGCCCAGCCCAGCTCATCTGAGTCCTGAGGCTCTTCCCCTCTCTCTCTGATTTAAATGCTGCTTTCTCAAGGTGCTACAGCAAAAGCGCCTGCAAAAACTTCCTGTGGAGCACCTGAGGAGTTCCAGGGGGAGCAGTGCCCTCCACAGGTGCTGCAGAGTGTCCTTGGGCAGCCCTGCAACGTGTCCTGCATGGCCTCTCCAACAAGCAGCTGCTCCAGCAGCCCTTTGTGATGGGCCTGCAGGGATGGGAGGCCCCTCTGTGGCCAATGCTGAGGGCCCCCAGCGGCACTGGCAGCTCCAGCCCTGCTGGCCACACTGACAATGGGCAGTGAGACAGATTCCCTCCTGCCTTCTCCGCTCCCAGGGGAGCGTGCGCCATGTCCAGGGAGCACCTGAATCCCTGCAAGCCTCGTGGCAGGTGAGGGTTTGCAGGAGTTGGTGCTGGCACCTGGAAAACATGCCATTTTCTGTGCTGGGAGGAAGAGACAGCCACTTTGCAAAGTCTCCCTTTGTGAGACAGCTTCAGGGCCAGCAGTGCAGCAGCAGCTCTGGGTGAAAGCAGAGCCCTGCAAACAGGGAGTCTGGCTGCCTTGGGAAGAGGCTCCATGGAGATCAGGACTCATCCCAGCTTGCTCTGGGAAGGAAGCTGGAGGTCTGACCATGATGATGCAGAGAAAAGCCTCATCTTACTTTGGGAAGGAAACAAGGCAAAAAAAAAATCCCACACTCAGCACAGGCCTGTAGGATCTGAGTCAGCTTCTCCAAGGAAAACTCTCCTATTTCTCCCTCCCACTCAGCCCATACCCAGCCACCGGCCCTGCTGCCCAGCCCACTGTCAGTGCACAGCAGAGCAGGGCAGCAAAAAGGGAGCTCAGCACGAGCAGGACTTGGTGGTGGCAGGCTGGGGAGGCAGCACAAGCAGTAGGGGTACAAGAAAATCTACCTCTGCTCCTGGAGATTGGGCAAAACCCCACGATTCTTTCAGGGCTGTGGCTGCCTCCTCCACATTTCTAATCCTGAAGTGTCTCCTTAGAGATGCCCAGGAATCCAAACTGGGTCTCTTCCCCTTTGGTGGTTGGGGTTTGAATTTAGATGGGTAAGGCTCACATCTGGAAAAGAACACAACCATGAACAGGGACCTGCAGTGGGAGGGAGGGACACCTGCACGAGCAGCTCCTGGCCAGGATGCAGCCCCAGGTGGGTGCTGGCACGTTGACCTGAGAAATGGTTTGATCCAGCCCTTCCCAATCCAGGCTGGAGCAGGTCTGTTCTAAAGGCAGCCCAGGGATGACACTGAGCTGCTGCAGCAGCTGCAACTGCTTGCATTGAGCAACTGCAGAGGACAGGCATGAACACCTGGTGGGGATGCAGAAAGCACAGTGGGAGAGGGAAAGACAGAGAAGGCAGCAAAAAGGTGAGATCTGAGGCACCGAGGGGCAGACCCAGCCAGTGCCCAGCCAGCAGAGCCCCCCCCAGTGCCCAAGGCCAGAAACTCTGCAGCTCCACCAGGGATTTATCAGGAATGTTCCCCTGACACTGCTGGGGGGTTGGTTGACATTTTCCAACACTCCCAGGCGACTCAGGTCGCATTCCCCATCCATCCATCCATCCATCCATACACAGGCTGTGGTGCTGGGATCCTGCCAAGCTCTGCCAGCCTTGGGCTTGGGGAGATTTCTGCCAGCTGTCCTGAGCTCCGTAGTTGTGCTCTCTGTTCCAGGAAGCAAGCAAGAAAGATTTAAAATAAAAAAAACACAAAACAAACCACAACAGGGAAACCTAAAAAACCCTCAACAGCTCAATCTTGCTCAAGTTATTTCTTTAGGGACAGCTACCACTCTCCAGCTGAAATGCTGGGCTTTTGGGGAAAAAGAAAATTACATGTTCACCTCCAAATCAAAAAGGATTAAGGTAAGAGAACCTTTCCAACTAAAAATTATTGGCCCAAAGCTTTTACCTTTGCAAGAAATCTCTAGTTAAGACCAGGCTGACAGTTAAACAACTGGTCCTTCTGGTGGGGAGAAACCCTCCTCTCTGAGGGAAGCAGCCTGATAGTTGAAAGCAACTGTTTGGTCAAACTTCAGGCTCCCTGGCACACCTGCATTGCCTGTCCTTGCTGTTCACTGATTTACAGGCAGTGCCACAATGGCCCAGGTTCCGATGTCTGGTGCCATCCAGGGAATTTGGCATTGCCATTTCTATATGTTTTAATAGAAGTTTCAGTCCTTGCAACCACCCTTCAAATGCCAGCTTTCCTTTCTTTTACAGAAAGCTCAAGGTTCCCAGAAGTCTTCTGACGTCCTCTTTTGTGCTCAGAGGGATGACATTTTCAAACAGATGTTTCCAAAGTTAACAGCATTTGAAAGAAGAATGAACTCAAATGCCCCTGGATTCGAGCTCAGCTGAGCTCCATTCTGTGTCAGACCCTGAGATTGCCACCTCTAAGGCAGGAGCTGTTTGTGCCCCCCATCCCTCCTGTCCTTCTCCCCAGCAGCCTGGGCCTGTTTTCCCCGGCAGAATCCCTGTCCCTGTGCACCCTGCCAGGAGCAGCTGCACACAGGCTCACATCTCCCCTTGCCCTCACCCGTGGGTTTCTCTCATCCCCGAACACGCCGATGACAACGTTGGTGCGATGAGTGCCCAGGGCCTGCACTTCCACCACAACTGGGATCTCTGCTGTGCTCTGGGGCTGCACAATCCCACAGGGCTTGGGGCTGGAGTAGAGCACAGCAGAGTCCTCCTTGCGTTTCTGGAAGGGACAGAATGAAATGCAACTTCAGAGGCACCTCTGGAGAAACTTTAGACTCCTTAACATCCACCGCAACAGCAACTTACACACACGTTTCAAACTCCCCAGCACAAAGGTAAAAGGCACACACAAGATGCAAGAATTGTAGGCTTAGCACTCCCAGGGGAACCTGCAAGGAGGCTGCCAGCACAGGCATTGGTGTCTGTGGATGCAGCAGCTTTTCACAACCCTCTAAGATCTCCCACATGAAAACACCCTGAAGACCAGAACATCAACTGTTTCCTCAGGAGCTTCAACTGCCTCCTAAAGTTTACAGTCGGGTAGGATCCTGCTCTCAGCAGATCTATAAGACTGAAGAGAAACCAGCAAGTTCTTATCCAAACCCTTTTTTCCCCTGATAATCTCCTCAGTAATATTTGACAGAAGGAGGTGGATGTGATGCCAAACCTGGGGAATGAGCCCGTAGCAGCCAGGAAGGTGGCTGGGATTCCTAATGAGGATCTTCCTCTCATACGGCACCTTCAGGTGGCACTCATCGTACATCAGGACTGGGGAGGACACTTGGAGCTCAGGAACGAGACATCTGGGCACAGAGATGACCCCAGGGGAATAAGAGATACTGAGAGAATGGAGAACATTTCCCCCCAAAGATTGTGCAATGGAGCAGAACACATTGGTCACTGTCAAATGCACACATTGAACAGCCCTACAGGGATAAATTGCCTTCTACCTCTTCCCACTCCAACACGTCTTGTCAAGGAGGGGCAAACCCTGAGAGGCAGCACCCAGAGGCTGCCCAGTGCCCCAGGCAGAGCACTTTGAGCCACAGCTGCCTCAGCCCCTGCTTTACCCAAGAAGGCTTGCAAGGACTCCTGGAACAGTCCCAGTGACCCACGAGCTCTGGGGGAGCCTTCCCAACAAGGATCAGGGCTCCCTAAGGCTCAAGGAACACACAACCCCAGTGTCTCATAAAAATGACTCCCTGCTCTCCCATGGTGCTGTTGCCCTGCCTGACAACTCAGCTGCTGGCCCCAGCCTTGGAGGGCACGAGACAGCAGCTGCCCCACAGAGGGGCTGATCAGCCACCCCCTCCCAGGCCCTGCAGCTCCCTGGCTCCTTCACTGCACAGCTCCAGGCCCTGCCTGGCCCCAGCTCCATTTGCTTGACAAAATGGCAGCCCAGGCACTGCCTGCATGGCTCTGCCTGGGAGAGGGAACAGCACCAGGGAGCTGCATCCCTCTGGGCATCACACTGACACCCACAGCAGCACAGCAGCATGGAATTCTGCTGCAGCAACAACGACTTTTGGTCTCAGCTCTGACAACATTAAAGCTCAAAATGGGAAGCAGAGGGAAGGAGAATAACTGGAGCTGACCTGCCACATCAAGGGCTGCTTTCCCCTCTACAGACCTTGCCCTCACCACTCTTGTTGGGAGCCACTTCCCCCCTGCCATGGGCCCTCATGGACAGAGCCAGACCCTGACTCTCAGCAGCTGCTTGGTGTGGCCCAAACCAGTGCACAGTGCTCACAACCAGCACAACTCCATCTCTTGCAGGAAGAAGGAGAGGAGGCCCTCGGGAAATTTGTTCCACCTCAAGCACCAAAACCCAGGCCAATCAATGATACCATTCCTGGTCCCTTTAGAAAAGGGCCAGGACTGTGCTGGGCTGTGAGCAGGGGTGCTTTTCACCACAGGCTGCTGCCCAAGCACTGCTGTTCTCATGTCCAGCTGGCACAACATGAGGCCATTAAGCAGCTCTTCTCCTTGGCAGCTGCAGCCAGCAAAGCCTGTGCAAGGCAGTGCCTGGGGGAGGCCAGGAAGGGCTGGTACCTGGCTGTGATGACCACTGATGCCACTCCCTCACCAAAACCCTCCAGGTCCACCAGCAATCTCCTGTAGAATTCCATCACGGTGTTGGAACACAGGGTCACCTGGTAGAAAAAAGAACAGTAAATTCTTCCTTACAAAAGCTCATTACCCACATGTGACATCCTCCAGTTCTTGAGGAAGGATTTGGCTTTAATTCTTCTGCTGGTCCATGTGTAGAGCAGAGTCTCAGAGTAACAAAAGCCTTCTGGCAATAGCAGATTTGTTAAACACACCTTGCTATCACAGCATCGGTCAGCTTCATTAAAACATTAGACTAAAGCTCTACACACCACTGTATTCAAATTAAGGGGCCAATTTCTCATCTGACTACAATGACATAAATGCAGAGGAAATCTGACTTGAACACAATGAGTTCAGCTTTACAGCAGAAGGCTGAGGGCAAAGTGTGGCCCAGCAGGTGCTGGGCAGTTCATGGCTGCCATGGTACCCAGAGCCCGGGCTGGCTCTTAGAACTCCGGCACCACGCCAGGAGTGGGGAACTGCCCCAGGGTGGGCATTTACCAGAGGCAGAGCCCTCAGAGCCACTTGCTGTCCAGTGCAAGAGACAAGCCACCACAGGGACCAGGCAGAGGAGAAAGGAGGAGGCTCTCTGTCTTGAAGTTCCACAAGGAAGGGTTTATTCCAAATAAAGGAATCAGAGGCACAAGAGCCCTGGACACTCCTGTGCCAGGGCTTTTGTAAAAATACAAATCAGGGGGTGGATACAAACAGCAAATCAATAGGGAATCCTCAGGGGAGGAGTGAGGGGATTACATCAAGTGTCTGGGACCACTGGGGGTAGGAGGGTAAAGAGGATGGGTCACATGGCCAATGGGGTCTCCAAGAATAGGGGAATTCCAAAGGGGTATTGCAATCAGGGATTGGCCCGAGGTTCAAGTGGCAAAGAAGGTTTGGGAACAAAAGGGGCTGGGTTGCCTAGACAGGCAGGGAAAAGAGCTGGAACAAGGGGCAGGGAACGGCATGAGGGACAGCATTGAGGGAGGGTAAAACACAGGCGTGAGCCAACTCAGGGAGAACATGGGTGTACAACAGAACAAGGAATCGATAAAATCAATTTGAACCGCAACACATGGCTGCAGAGGTTTTTGTCTCCACTGGAGATCCCTGCAGTGAACACAAATTTTTCTGCTCCTCAGGAGAGGGAAAATGAGACCAAGAAGAAAAGCTAACTGCTTTATACAATGACATCTCTCTAACAACCACCTTCTGCCTTCATCCTTGCTCTGCCCACTTGCAATCAAAGAAATCGCTCTCAAAAGCAAAAGAATGGCTTCAGGACTTGACCATATGGTATTGATCTCAGTGTAGGATTTTGGAAACAAACCAGTGCTCCTTGAGGAACATCCCGGCTAAGCCAGCTAGCAGAGGCCTCCCAGCAGTGCAGATCTCTCACTCCCACGATGCTCAAAGCTGGCACCAGAGCTAAAGCCCTCCCACACTCCAGTGAAGCTTCAGCCCTGGTGCTGAAGCATCTACAGCTGGATTCTTCCCATACCTCAATGTCCTGGTGTCCCTGGGGGAGGATGGTTCCTTGGCTGGGATTCATTGTGAACTCCCTTGGCTCCACATAGAAATGAATTCCCTTCCTCCAGGATGGGTCACCTTCTTTGCGTATTTGATCAAGGCTGTCCACAGCCGGCTGCGTGCCATCGTCCGACATGCGGAGCTTGAATGTCACGGGCACCATGGAGCAGTTGGTGAGGCGACATCTCTGGGTATAGGGAAAGCCTAGGAAAGGACACAAATATCCATTCAGGCACCCATTATGGCATGATCCTGGTGGGAATATCCTGCCAGGATAAAAGTGAGATTGGAGTTGAGCTCTTTATTTTCTGAACTACAGCTCACCGAGAAGCTGCATGAGGAATTAATCATCACTGAGTTCCCTTTGACACTGATTCCAGACTGCAGCCTTGAAAATGCCCACTCCTAGCCCTGCTGAACACTGCAAGCTTCTCTCTTTGGGAGGGGAAGGAGCTCCCTCCCCTGCCCCAAACCAGCACCAGTTATCTCTCAGTGATGAGTGTGCACCCAGACCCAGCATTTACTCTGAGAATTCAAGCTGTAAAATTCCCTGGTAAGTCTGCCAACATTCCCACTGTTTTCACGATACATAAACAGTGAGTTGTCATTGAGAAGAAGCTACAGCAAAAGAAAATGAGGATGGAATCAGGAACTAGAATGTGATGCACCTTAATGCAGTTTCTCTCTGCAGGACCCTTAAAGCATCTCTTGGTTTGGGCCAAACAGACTGAGCACGTGACAGCTCAGAGCCCACTCAACTGGGAGCAAACCCCAGCCTTGGTTTGAGATTAGCAATTAGGAACCATGTCCCACCTCACCCAACAAACAGGGACACCACAGCCATGCTGCTCACTGTGATTGTGCCTGCAAGGGGATCCCCACTTTGGCTCTGAGATTTGCTTTCCATCCTGCAAAGCCAGAGATACCGCCACACATGGTGGGGATCTGTCTTTTAAAGCAGGACAGAGACACTAGAAAATACTGCCTTTCTATTCCTTGGTTCTATTTGATCTCACAATGGCAAAATGCCCCCTGAGGCAGCAGCAGTTGACAGCCTGAAGAGGCTGCTGGGGCAGACCAGGAGTGAGGGATGCTTTTCTGTTGGAAGGCACAGATCCCTGACACTGTGTCCCAGCCCAGGCAACACTCACCAAAGGAGATGTCCCCGAAGTCGAGCTCAGGGAGGTCGAAGTGTAAATTCGGTGCAGTGACGCTGCCCCTGGAGGCCGAGGCCAGAGCAGGAAAGGGCTCGGTTAAAGGCATTGCAAAGGTCCGGCTGTCGTGGCTCGGGGCACAAAACCTGGGCTCAGGGCACCCTGGGTTTCCAACCAACACAGCACCGTGTGCTCAGCACAGGGCCCTGTGCACAGGAGGCAGCTCAAGCCAAGTGGCCAGCAGCCAACAGCCACTGATGGGCAGGCAGGAGAAGCCCCTGGGATGCTGGGGGTCCCATGAAGGACCCTGAACACACACCCAGACATGGCTCCGTGCCTCAGTTTCCCTAGCTGCAATGGGATGGACATCAAGGTGTCCCCACAAACTTCTGTAACCAGCCTTTCCAGCCACAGGTTCCCTGCTTTGCTCCTTCTTAGCTGCAACTGCTGTTCCCATGGAGGAGCTTTCTCAGGAGAGTTTGACCCACACAATCATTACAGACACAGTTCTGAGACATGAATCCAGGGGAGCCCCAAACATCCTCTGAAAAGAGCAGCAACAGTTCTACCCAGGGGACAGGTGAATCCTAGAGGAAAGGACTGGTGAAATGTTCCCTCTTGATTTCCAAACTAAAAAAGCAGCACTTTTCCTCCAAAAACAAAGCCAGCATAATTGTTTCTCCACTATGGGCAGACCTACTCACCACTTTTCTCTTGCCAAATAATAACTTCCTTGTTCCTTTTTATCCATCTCCCTTATCTTATTGGTACAATCAAGTGCAGATTGCTTTCATTTCTTTACTGCCTTGAGCCAGTGCCCCCCAACAGCAGGAGCCCAGCTCCAAAGCTGCAGAGCAGCCAGCATCAGCTCTCCTGCTTCCACTGCATTATCCCAGCAGCACATGGCTCAGGCTGGCAGGGACAAGGCCTCACGCTGCTGTGGTGCTGAGGACTGAGCTCTGCCTCCCCTGTGATCAGCCCTTCTCTCTTTGGCTGGGCCAGGATTGTCTCCTGCCATGGCACCAGCCCATGGGATGGTACCCCAGTCCTTGGCACAGTTCCTGCTGCACAGTTCCTGACTCCCACATCAGCCCATTGCTGGCTGTGCAAAGGAGGCACCAGAGCACTCTGTGCACAGGAGCTGGGAGCACAGCTTGTCCCCCACAGCATGGCCATGAGAGGGGAGCTGAGGCTGCTGCTGCCCATTTGGGATGGATTATTAATGGAAGTTTTTAAAAACACTGCTGCTGGGGCAGAATCCCCCAGGCTGGCCCATCTGCAAAGCCCTGGGGGCCTTGCTGGGTGTTCAGGTGGGACATCCCAGAGCAGCTGCTGCCCAGAGCTGCTCCATCCCACTGCCTGCCATGGCCCAAGGCAGAGGGAGATCCCTGCAGGGAGGAGTCATTGCAGCTCCTGGGTACCACACAGGGCAGGAGGCATCCTGACACTAAGGCAATGCCAGGATCACAGCAGAGATTAAGACCTCAGGCATCACCTTTTTTCTCTGCTCAACCCCAAAATGAGGTAGGTGGGGGATGTCCCAGAGACAGCTACAGATGTGTCCACCAAGCTCCCAGAGTCCTTACCTGATGGTCAGGATCACAGGTGTAGGAGATCCAGCCACACTGAACTGCAATTTTTCCTCAAAGCTCCCCAGCACGGTGGTATGGAAGGAGATCTGAACAGTCTGGGTCCCACCTGGTGCAATCATGCCCCGCTCAGGCTCAACCGTGAAGCAGAAGTCCACATTTGTGGTTGAAGGGATATAGGTGAAGGGAGCATCAAGAGCTCCTTTGTTAATCAGTTCCACCTGCAGAAGCAAGAAAGCAAAATGGAAATACAGGTGGAACCTTCCCTTCTTGTGAGTTATTGTCTAATGATGCAATGAACACCCAGCAAAGGCAGAAGATGCTTTGTGCTGCTGAATGGCAGAAGTCAAAAGATACAACAGGACAAGTTCTGCCTTTGGGTTTTCATGCAGAGCAGTGGCAACTCCACAGACCTGCAGTCACCCTGGGCTTATCCCATGGACACAGAGCAGTGCACCTCTGCTCAGCATCACCAAGCTCATGGGGAGCTGGCCCTGAGAGCCCTGAGTGGGGTGATTGCAGCTGCGGAGTGAATCACCCCAGAGCTGCTGCTGCCCCAGTGAGCACAGCTCCAACAGCACCATCTACTCATTCACCTTTCCCATACCATGGAAACAATTCATTGAGAATGAGGCATCAGCATCAAAATGTACAGACAGCACCATCCTTTGGTAAGAAAACTCAGCGTGTCTTTCCCTTCCCCAGTCGCGCTTTTGAAAGTGTCTGGCATGATGTAGTGCCTCATTTTCTACCTCTTTGAGTTGCTCTCTCATGAATTTTTTGCAAACTTGACACTATTGGGGGGGAGGCAAATAGGTAGAAAAATCCTTTGCTTTATTCCCAGGAACACTTTTCTCCTTCCAGAGCCAGAGATGCACCAAGGCTGAAGTGTGGTGAGGGACTGGTCAGCAAGGGAGAGAACTCCCAAGCCCTTTGCAATGGCCAGCACTGAGCCAGGAGGCTGGATGGATTTCCTGTGACTTCAGCAATAAGCAGGGACACTTGACTGGAAGCTGTTTGCAGTGGGCTGAAGCTCAAAGGCAGCCAGTTTGTTGCAGCTGCTTCTGCAGAGCCCAGTCCAAAGGTGCCTTGTGTCTGGCACTGCCACAAAAGCCTCTGAACATGCAGCTTTTTGACCCAGTGTTGGTTTCATGTGGCAAGGGGTTGTTTTGCAGGAAGCCTCCCAGCTGATCCCTAAGGAAGGCTGCCCAAAAGCAGGGACTGGGCCTTCAGGAACAACAGACACACGTTTCTGACCCCCCAGGTTGGAGCAGTACATCAAATATTCCCTGCTCACAGCTGCCCAGGTTGGCAGCAATTCCACAGCTCCACCAGGCTTGCTGCTGCCTCAGGAGCCATCAGGATCCATCCCAAGCCCTGCTGCTCACCTCATAGACATAGGGGGTGTAGACAAAAACATTCCCAAGGTTCAGCGTAGGAGAGCTGAGTTCAACCAGGGGTCCTTGGCCTTTCCCTCTGAGGCACAGGGGCAGCCCGATCTCACGGCCTGGGGAGAGATGTCCATTGCAGTACAATCATTCCCTCTGTCACACTGGATTTTCCAGGCTGCCTCAGTGCTAGTCCCTGACTCTGAGCTGGATGCACTCATGCTTGGAGCTACCTGGTCTAGGGGGAGGTGTCCCTGCCCATGGCAGGGGCCTTGGCACTAGATGATCTTTAAGGTCCACCCCACCCTCATCCTACTGTGATTCTGTGGTTTCCTTCCCGTGCACCTAGAGGAGCTTTGAAATCCATTCAGTGCAGGCACAAAAGCTCATGATGAGTTTGGCAATTACCAAACTACCCGGGCCAGGAGCACAGGCCTTTGTTGCCCAAGTGCTCCCCTTCTGACACTCAGCACTGTGTTCTGTTTCCACAGAGTGAGAGCTGCAAGGGGACAACTCCCACACAGGCAGAGAAGCAGCTGCTGGCCAAGGGTGCTCCTTCTACAAACACCCTGTGCTCAGTGGGGCTCAGCCACCTCTGCTCTGCTGCTGTCTGGGCACTGGGAGGTGATCCAGGGCCAGGGAGCACATTTCTAACTCAGCTCCTTCCACCTGATGATGGATCCATGGCAAATGGACCCATCCTGGAGGCCAGGGGCCTGCAGGGGCTTAGTGCTTGTTCACTAAAGCTCTTCTGCTCTGGAGCTCTCTGGCCTTTGAGGAAATGCTGGCAAAGCCGTGGCATGAAAACCTCTCCCTGCACTGCCTGGGCTGTTCTGGGATCAGTAAGGCAGAGCCAGCATTCTGAGCCCTGGCCTTGCACAGGAGACTCCCTGGAGGCTGCAGGGCCAGGGGGGATGTGCCAGCACTGCCCTGCTGACCAGGGACTCTTGCCAGCACTTCCATGGGAGCCCAGTGGGCTCAGGCTTGCACCATGGCTTCACTGAGGGGGACAGGAGCAGGGCAAAGGAGCTGCACCTGAGACATGGCAGTAAGCCACACTTTGATACTCCAGTGCTTCCAGGGCTTTGAAGGTCACCGTGATTTCAGCCGAACAATTTGGCCCAATTTCTCCCTCCTACAACAGAAAGAGACAGCAAAGCATTGCTCTTCAAACTCCACATTTCTTGTTTCCAACCACAGGCCTGTAAGCCTTGATTGAGCATCAATGATGAGTGAACAACACAAGCAGCCAAGGAAAGCCTCCAAACCCAGCTCAACACAGCGCTGGAAGCTCTCAATGCTCAGCTGATCAGCTGCCACTCTCCACAATATTCCTGCTGCTCTGACACAAGCTCTTGGTCCCATCATGCTGCTGTCAGCTCCATGGGATGTAAGTGCCACTGGGCACTGGTGGCTCTTGGCCTTAGATGGGCCATAGGAGTAACCAAGAAGAGAACATGATCCCCTTCCTTGAACTACAGATATTAGTTAAGCTGTTTTGAAAGAAAGCAGAGGTTGGGATTATTCTGGGCTTTACTGCAAGATGAGAAGGGATTTTGCTCCGTGCAGACACCAGGCATTCATCATCTCTCCCAATGCCAGTACTCAGAATCAGGGCTCTGGCTGATGGGAGCACGTGGCAGTTTGCTTGCATCACCAGAAAAGGAAAAGGTTTTGTGTCCCTGTGTGCAGGAGAACTCCAAAGGCCCATTTCAACCTTGCACCCTTGTGTCCAGGCTCACACAAGGATGACACTGGAAGGGACAGCCAGCAATAGTGCAAGGCATGGTTACAGGAGGGGATTGGCATTTCTGTCATTAACCTTGGGCTGAATTTGGCCTCCTTTTGCCAGGGAACCATTGCAAGCTTCAGGTCAGTGTGTGAGCTGGCAGTGCTCCAACAGCCTCTGCTGAGCCCCACGTGTGGGGGGAGCCCCTGCCTACAGGAACTGCTCCCTGTGACACTGCAAGGACACGCACACAGGGCCTTGAGCTCCAGCCTGGCAGCAGAGCTGGGCTGTGTCAGGCTCCCAGCCCTGCCTTGAGCCTGCAGGGCACAAATGCTTTGAGCAGGGAGCTCTGCAGCTGCTCCAGAAACTCCACATCCTCCCTGCCAGCACATGGGGCCAGCTGAGGATCTGCCCAGTGACTGCAGCCGGGGGAAGGGTGCTTGGGAGGAGGAAGAGGAAGAGGAAGAAAATGAGGTTCTCCGGTGTCACTTACCAATGGCTCAATGAAAAAATTTTCACTGGCGAACAGCAGGGGGTCATCTTGCACCTTTGCCTTCTTCTCCTGGACCCTGCTTCTCAGGAGGGCAGTGTGATCTTCAGAAAAGCCCTGCACCTTCTCTACTTCTTTCTCCTCCGTGAAGTTTTCCAGCCACTCCTCACCCGATGGGTGCAGCAAACGACACTGCCTGCAGCCCCAGGGAGAGACAAGGCCAGCTGATCATTTAATAAGCCACAGATTTGCAGAGAGAAGTGGGAGTGCAGGAGAGCAAAGCACTTGGGGAGGAGCAGCAGCAGCTCCCCAGCAAAGGCTGAGCCAAGCCACGAGGGTCCCACAAGGATCAGAGGATAACTTGTTGTTCACTGGCACAGCAGGGAGTTTCACCCCACACTTGCAAGCTCAGGAGAGGTTTCCAAAGCCAACATCCCTCCAGAGAAACCTCCTGGCTCAAAGCCTCTAACAAAACTGAGGGAGAATCCACCGACCACCTCAGCTGGCTTTTCCTCCCACTGAGCTGCTTGGGGGATGCACATAAAGGTCACAGAGCATCCCACCTTCCCTGGGAAGGGGAGATGTTGCCAGGTCATGTAGGAAGAAGATTAGAGAGACAGGAGCCCAATTAGAACCTGAGGAAATCAGTCATTGCAACCAACCTTTCCTTCCCAAAATGCCATTCCTGGTTGGAGTATAAATGGAACTGGAATGCTGAGTGCTGAGCTCCTGAAGCCCAGGGACACACACCCCAGTGCCAGGCATGGTTTACTTGGCCTAAACCATTCAAAAGCACCAACACCCCCCTGAGGCCATAGGTTAGTTTCAGTCTTGGGCCATATATCTCACTGAAATGCATCTTCCAAACCAACCTCCTCTTCTCTTCATAGTCATCTTCCTCAGAAGGCAAAGCCTTCCACTGGAAGTGGGCTGTGATGTTACTCCTGTTTTCGATGAACACGGTTGTCTGGTATGCCATGGTGATGAAGGTCTTGCCAGCCTCCACGGAATTTGTGCTCAACACAACATCAACATCTACAGCTTCTCCATGGAGCTTTGTGTGGATACTCTCTTCACCTGGAACAAAGCAAAGGGGAGTCTTTGCTCAGCTCACTGGCTGATGGAAGCACAAGGAACAGAACAAATCCCAGGGCACAAAAGAAGGTGTCACAGTTTTTATCTGAATGAGCAGTTCTGTGGATCAGTCCATTTGTCACATCCTGACAGCTCTGTGTGTAGAGTGGTGAGGATGTCCTGGGCAGCTCCTTAAACCCCTTAGTTCTGAGTGTGTTTGTAGAGCTTTGGCCCCAAGGTGACAGGATGGACAGTGGGATTGGTCAGTGTGCTCTGGTGACCCACTCAGATCACTGGGATTTCTGCATCCAAGCCCTTCAGGTGACAGGGTGAGGAGCCCTGTTCAGCCCTGCCTGGCCCAGGGTCTCCCTGGGCATCCCACGAGACTCCCATCTCTCCTGATCCCTTGGATCCCTTGTTGCTGACCAGCAAATATGCCTGGGGGCAGGTGGGCAGCAAAAGGAGGCCCAGAGGAACAAGTGAAGTGACAGCGCACAGCAGGAGGGGACACAGGTGAGGAAACACAACCAGCCTGGCTCTGCAATATGACAAACCACTCTCAAATGAACACCATGAAAATCATCATCATCATCTCCCTGTCCAAACCCACAGCCACATCAGTCTTGAAATATTTTCTATTGTTCTGATCTCAAAAACCAAGCTGGCGCATTGCACATTAAATAAAAAAGGGACAATAGAAAGATTAATAAGTACAGAGCAGCTTCTACATTAAGACTGAATGGGATTCCTCAGTCTAGAAATCAAATGGGAGATAGATGTGAGAGGTTTGTAACAACATGAACAGCCTGGGAAATGGGCACAGGGAAAAATTGGTCTTGATTTGTCACCAAACAGGAACTTGAGGGCCTGAAAATGTTATTAGTCAGAAACTACATATATGTGTAAGGGCCACATAGAAAAAGGATGTGTGACAAGCCAGTGGAGAAGCAGCATATGGGACAGAGGTGTGCAAGAAATCCATTGCATTGGAGAGAGTCTGATGGAGACCTCACATCCAGCACGGCCCAGGAATCAAATAAAACTTCACCCAGGCATAGCCACATGGTCGTGGAGAATCAGGGATCCTCCTTCCTCCACTCAGCAACTCCCAGCAAAACAGGAATCAAAAATCTTCACCCTTTAGACGGGATCCACTTTCTCAAGCCCCTGAACACCAAGGAGTTTTCAGTTTTCTTTGGGCTAAAGCTGAACAGGGAGGTACCTCTGGAGGGAATGCAGGGGGAGGGACAACAGGGAGCCATGTGGAGAACTGTCCTGTGCCCTGCAAGGGCCAGCACTCACCTGTGTTGCAGCACAGGGACCCAAAATGGTCCCCGTTGGTCAGCGCATGAAATGTCACTGTCACCTGCATGGTGTCCCCAGCAGCCAGAGTTCCTGCGGTCGGCACCACGGAGAAAGGACTGCAACACAAAGAGAGGGATCAGGGCTGGGGGGACACCTGGCCAGGAGATTCCTGCTGCACTGCAGCTCCCTTGGGCAAGCAGGGAGCAAACCAAGCACAGGCAGCAGAGGATAGAACAGACAGGCTCAGAAACAGCCACTGAGCCACTGCTGAGGAGATCCAGCCCTCACAAGATCCTGGGGGTAAAATGACCTCAGCTCCCCCATACTCTGCATCCAGCTCTCTGCAATGAGGCTCAAGGGTCCCACTGCCAGCAATCCCATCAGAGAATGGTTTGTGAAGAGCACAGAGAGGGTTCACAGAGCTATCTGCATGCAGAACTTGACACTGACTGCCTCAGGAATTTCTCTTTTCCTGCTGCCTATAAACCTCATCTCAGGAGATGCAAATGTTAGGGCACTACCTGTCCTGGGATATTACAGCCTAGGAATCAGACAGGGAGAAGGAACTTTTCCTTGAAGACCAAGGAATAGTTACAGTTGAATTTGCAGTGTGATTCTTTGGTTTATTTTGCCTTGAAAATATCCTGATTTAGCCTAAAAAGGGCACATTTAATCAACATTTCAATGAAAACTGCTCTAAGAAAAGGAGCAGTCAAAACTCTGAAAGAGTGCAAATGCAGATTAGAGCAATAGAGTGACATGGAAACCCAAAAGGAGGATGCTATTTACAGTCTGAAGGAGCCCATGCCAGCTAAATGAAGCACCATGAGCAGGAGCACATCAAGGAAGCAGAACAGGAGGTTTCTGTGTGTTTACCAGCAATGCAGTCTGGGACTGTGGCTTGTCATCCAGGCTGGTAACTGTTGCTTGGCCCAGCAGAGAAACTCTGTGTGAGGTGTTGGAAATGTTAATGCAAATGTGTTGGTGCACTTTGGATTTAACAGGAGCCATCAGGATTGGTCACCAGGTAAAGAGCTCTTGCCTGACAAGCACAAGACTCTGTGCTTTGATGCTCAGGGACAGCTCAGGGGAAATGTGCTTTGTGCTCTTCTCCAGCCCCACTGAGGAAACAAAAGTTCCTGGCCTGGGTGCTTTGCTGCTGGTCAATCTGTCATTTCAAAGTCTGTTCTGGGGAGTTTGGTGATGATTACATCCCACACAGAAATAAAGAGAACATCTGGCAAGCTGAGCTTGATTGATGTCACTTGCTTCAGGTTCAGCTCATTCAGGACCTCCTGCTGCAATGATGGGCTGAGCTGTTCCCATTCCCACTGGTGAGACCATCACTGGCTGATGGAGAAGCCTTGGGCCAGCAATGTTTATGTGCTGGACGTGAGACTTTGGAGGGAGGGGAGGAAAGACAAGGCCTCAGCAGCCCCAGAGCCAGATCAGTGCACGTGCTCCTGCATCTGCCCCGGGGCTGATGCCAGCACTGCTGCAGGTCCCTGCTGGGGCTCGGGGGGATCAGTGCCTGCTGGGGGCAAGGCACGGGATTTTCTTCTTATTCTTTTGCCAGAAATTCCACCAGAACAGAGAAGCTGCCATTTAAGGGAATCCCTGGCCACACTTCAGCACTACCTTCCATTCCATTCCATTCCATTCCATTCCATTCCATTCCATTCCATTCCATTCCATTCCATTCCATTCCTTCCCACTGCTGCCCCATGTTACATGTTCCTGCCCTCAGATGGCAGGATGGGAATAACACTCCTCGGGGTGACTTCAGGGGTTACTTCTTTCTCTCTTGCCTGAGAAAGAAGGTATCTTCCTCTTTTCAAATTATCAGGAGAAGAGGATCCAGCCAAGTCCAGGACTCAGTTTCAGGACTGAAAAACTCAGTGCAAATCAGCCCCTTCATCTCCTACATCCCTGGGCTGTACCCACTAGACTCCTCTGTTCCTGCTGTAGCAGTCATCTGCATTTCAGCCAACATCACTAAGCTGTTCCCTGAGCCCACAGATAGAAGAGCTGTGAAGGAGACATCCCTGACACTGTAAGAACCAAATGAAAACCACTGCCAAGAGATGGGGCTGGCAGGCTAAATTTTGGCCTTTTATCTGTTAATTGTGAGCTGTTCCTTAAGACAGTTCTCACCCTGTTAGAGCTGCCCTTTCAATGAATCACCATTGCACCCAACAGGCAGAAAAGAGAAGCTATGGAGGGGGTTTTAATAGGTTGTTTTCTTCTGCTTTTTAACTAGGTCCATTTGTTTGTTTGTTTTCTTGTATGGCATCTAAAGACAGGTCCAGATCTCCCAATGGCACCTTGCAATCCCCAGACACTGGTCTTGCTTTGAGCAGTGTGTCTGCTCAGATGATTTCCAGCAGAAATTATTCTGTACTTTTATCTTCTAAATCAGCCCAAGTGCTTTTCACATATTCCCTAAATATCTCCTATTTCCTATACACCTGTGCATATACCTATGGGCATGTGGTACATTGAGAGGCATTAGAGGAGCTCGACCTTCATGAAAGCTCCCAGTGAAGAGTTCCTGATCTTTTGGAAAACATTTAACACAAACCAAAAAGAAAAAACAGCAGAAACACAGGAACTTCAGAGTATTCCAAAAGAAATCTCAATGAAAGGGGGCACAGCCTTATTCAGAGATTTAAATCATCTGTTTGAAATCTTAAACTGGCTTTCAAAGGTTCATCATGGAACAGAAAAGACAGCTGATGCTCTGAGGCGACAAGGGAAATCAGAGCAGCTTTAGTAACAGGAACTGCACCAGCTGCCCACAGCACAGCTCATGTTGGGCATCTGATGCAGGGACCACTGGAGAGCCACGTGCCTGGGGCCTCCCAGAGAATGGGTCTGTTTGGCTGGCAGTGGTGAGGAAGCATTTCAGAAGCTGCTTGTACTCAGCAAGCCAGCTACCAACGTGTTCCAGCACCCTCCAGGAAATCTGGGACAGAGAAAGCTCAAAGGCTGCATCCTGCTAAGAACACTGAAAGCAAGAGCAGATGCCATCCATCCTGCTCACTTCCAGCCAGGGCTGCAGGGCAGCAGCTCTGATGCTCTGGTTCCTTTGCTGCTCTTTCCCAACTCTGCTCTCACCCAAAGGTGATATCCTTTGCACAGGGACAGATGAGCTGCCTCACCTCTGGGTGCTCAGCTGGTAATGAGCTGTCCGGTTACCGACATTGCGAACCAGCAGAGTCTTCTGGGTGCTGTGCTTGACCGGACACTCGGAGAAGTCCACCTGGGCAGGGAAGTCCAGGATGGCTCGGGCACCGATGGCCCCAATTGGCACAACGATCTTCTCCTTTGCCATGATACAGGTGAGCTCATGGGAATAATCCTGCAGGAAAAGAAACTGGCTCAGCACAGGGCATTTAGTGCCATCCCTGTGGCAGAAGAAAAACCTGTAACTCATCCATTTCCTGTAACTCATCCATGGCATCAATTTGCCGGGCATCAATTTACCTATTCCACCCTAAAATGAACACTGAGTTTTTCTAATATGTCACATTTTAAAGGCACCAGTGCCCTTTGCAAAAGCTATCCCAGTGGCATTAAGCTCTTGTGTCACTTGGGTCATACGGAGAACTGCCCTAGGCCACCATAATTTTCACTCACAAATTTTAATGATATTAAATAATTCCTAAGCTCCTTCTAAGGAACATGGAGCTAGGGAACACAGCACATTCCTCTTTAGGTTTCTATATTCCCACTGTCTGAGAATAGGACAAAGTGTTAAACTGACTCTAAGCAGCAAGAGGAAGATGAGAAAACAGCTGCACCCAAAGAGATCCTGCACCTCTGGCCTGGTGCAGAAACATCAGTTGGCTCAGAACTCCCCTCTAACTTTGCCTCTCCAACCAAGGCAGGAGAAGAACAGTGCTAAGAGGTTGCAGGATGCTGTTGGAAAGGGCCTCTCTTTGTTTGCCTGCAAGGCTTCCTCCCTTCCATGCCATGTCCTAAACCCTTCTGTATGAACAAGTCTCCAGATGCCAGCTGTGAGATCAGACTTGCCAGGGCCTCAGCACTGCCGTTCAAACCTCCATGCAGAAGCACCTTTGGCACGGAATGGGTGCCAGCTGACAGAGCAAGCACAGTGACAGGCATGAAGACAGAGCCCCAGCAGTGCCACTGCCACAGGCTCTGGGCCCACAGCTCTGCCTGCAGCTTGTACCTGCCCTACACGAGCTCCTTCAGGCAGGTGTCCAAGTCCCCTGCAGCTCAGCAACCTCCTGCTGACCAAGGGCACCCAGAGCCCAGTCTGCCTGTGCCAGGCTGGGCTCACAGGCACAGCACATCCTCTGCCCTGCCCCTGCAGCTGTGCCATGGTCACCTGTGCTCTGGGACAGCACAGCTGCAAGGCTGCAGAACAGAGGGGGTGAAAAAGCACCGTCTTTGCTCCAGCCCAGGGGCAGGCAGGGAAGCTGTTGGCAGTCAGGAAGGAGGAAAGCTCCCTGACCTCTTTGTCCCTCGAGTGTTTTCCATAATAATGAAACCCCTTCCACTGGACCTAGAGATGGCTGAACATCTGTCAACATCTCTTTGTCATTTTCATCCTGTTCCTGTGCATCTTCCCTTGGGAATGCTCAGGGATGTGCAGGGAGGGGAAGCAGAGCCTGTCAGGCCTGGCTGCAGTGCCTGCCAGCAGTGCCAAGGTGTGACTGGCTGCTGCAGGCTGCCTGCCCAGGGCCTGGAGCCCAGCTCACAGCATGCAATGGGCTGGAGCAGAGTGCAGGGAAAACAATGGCTGTGGAGATCATTGTGTGCTTTGGCTCCTCCAGCCTCACCTTGTTCTCGTCGGGGCTGAAGCGGATGCGCACAGGGGCGGAGGCGCCTGGTGGCACGATGTGGTACACATCACTGGGGCAGGCCAGCTGGAAGTAAGGTGAGCTCTCCATGCAGACCTTCACCATCTGAGCAATCTGCAGCAAAGACATCACATGATGATTTTGCCACTTGTGGAAACAAGAGGAGACCTGTCCGTGCCCTGCTGACATCCCTCCCTGGCCCCTTTTCCAAAGCACTTTCAGCTGTGCAGGCACAGGCACATCATTCACAAGGCTGAGCTTGAATCCCTCCTGTCTGGCTCCAGCATTGTGGCCAGGGCCAGTAGGGCAGTGCCTGGTGGGAAGGAAGGGCCAAGCAGGTCAGCACCAGCAGGATGGAGACAGAGCACCTGAACCAAGTCATCTGCATATTCAACAAGGCCAAAAAACCTGCTGGCTTCTGCCTGCACACAGCCATGAAGTTGTCATGTTCCAGGGGCGAATGTGCTACCTGAAAGCAAAGCATCAAATTGTCCTGGGGGAAGGAAAAAATTCCCTTCTAGCAGATGAGGTTTGGGTAGGGACGTTGTGGAGATAGAGTCATGCAGGCAGAGCAGCAAGAGAGGAGACCAAACCACTGTGGCCTTCCTGGGAATAAAAGTAAACCTGAAAAGCAAAAGAAGGAACACAGCAAGACAATCCCTAAAACAAGGAGATGGCAAAGAGAATTTAAACGGGCAGTAAAGCAGCAAGGAGGAATCATAAAACCATGAGAGCATTCAGCTTGCCAAAAGTGATGGAAACACAGACAGGCTGTGCCTATTGACTCTGGGCTTCAAAGGCATTTTCTGCCTGGAGAAACATGACCAGCACTGAGTGACAGTGTGGTTCCAGTATTAAAGCCAATCCTGGCTCTCCAGGGCTTCTTGCTGCCTGTGCAGGCAAGCTGGGCTGCTGGGCATTCCTGCCTGCAGCCAGCAGGCCAGGTGCTGCCCTCTGGGATTCACAGACACAGCACACATGCATTTTCTAGCACACAGACATCATCAACCCCTGAGCACCAAAATGCTCTCAGAAAGGCTAAACCAGATGATTTGGACTCCCTCCTGTCTCTTCCCACCAGCCCACTCTTGGCACAAGGCTCATTTGAGAAATGTTTCCCTGACGGAAATTCCAATGGTCTCTGTTTTCCTCTTTACACTGGAACACAACTGGTGACATTTTTCAACTTTTTCCCTCTCAACTCTCTTGGGAAACTGCAAAACAATCACAAGTGAAGGTGAAAACCTCCAGGAGCGTTGGATGTGCTGTGGTTCTCCAAAGGGAAAGCAGAGCACCGTGTTGCTTTTGGAAAAGCTGAGCAGAGCTGAATGAAACTTAGCAGGAGCCTGAAGTGGCACCTAAAGGCCTCCCACTGCTTCTGCTCCATCACTCTGATTGCAGGGCTCTTTCAGAACACATTTCCTGCAGTGCCAATGCCATGAATGAGAAGTGATTCCAGCATGAAGTGGAGAAGACTCAGCCCCTGAGCTGACTGTGAGCTGCACAAAGGGAGCCAAACAGGCTGAGAGAGGCAGAGATTCCTACCAGGAGCCAAGATTAACCAAGGAAACCCAGGATGTGGTATAGCTCAAGGCAAAGCACGAGAGCAGGTAAGAACTGTACAGGCTCAACATTCCTACCAATCCAGAGCTTTCAAGAGCAGGAAACTCCTTTGGCATAGATACCATCAATGCATGGCCAAAATCAGGGGACAGTTCCCAGCACAGGAAGATTTCCACAACTTGCAGAACAAAGGTGCTGAGCCATTTTCTTCTGGATGTGCTGCAGCAGATAACTTGCTTTGCTGTACACTGGGGGAATGACAGCACTCTCCTCTTCCAGCCCAGTGTTAAAGCTCCAGGTGCCAGCACTTACCTTGTCCTTATTCATGATAGACAGCACCATTTCAGAGACCTCATGAGCAACGACATTCTGAAATACCAGCTCTCGTGGGGAAACCCCAAACACGCTCCGTTTCGGGGGAGCTGGTGACAGCTGGAGAGGCGAGAGAGCAGGGAGAGGTTCAGCTGCTGGGAGGAAAGTTCATGAAGGATCCCTTACACTGATCCCCAGTGAAGCACAGACTCTGGGTGAGCATGTGTGCCCAGGACACACTGGGCAAACTCTGGCTCACCCACCTCTGCTCTGAGCTGATCAAGAACTGCTTGATCAGCTTAGAGCAGGCTCAAGCCAAGTTGCTCTTTTGATTTCTCCAGCTTTCCTTCTCCAGAATGCCAGGCAGCACGTTCCTTAAGCACAGCCCTGTGCCCACTGGAGCACTGACTGAGCACTCATGGAGTAAGTAAGACCCACAAATTGACATCAGATTCAATTTGGGGATGTCCTTTACTCTGAGACAGGGAAACTGAGGCCCACCCAACTGCAAATACCTGTTTTGAACTAGAACTTAAGCATCAGTAAGAAGAGAACAGTACTAGAGGAGGTGTGAGAGATGAGGTGGTATTTGGCTGAAGCCAAAAGGTTTTTAAGTGAAAGAATGGAATTTGTTGGTACTATGTGTTGTTTGTAGTTTGGATTTGTTCAGCTTGGTGTGTTGGGTGTTGCTGTGAGTTGGCAGCACCAACTGGCTGAAGACCTGACCAAAAGGAAGGAGGATGAGAGGAGAGGGGACAGAAAAGTTGGTGGTCAGAGAGAATGGAAGTTCTTGAGTACCCCTCCAGGGAAAAGGGGCCAGGGACTGTCCCAGCTGGGTACAAAGGGGATACAAAGATTGCTTTTTTCTTGGAGGGTGTGTTTGCTCCTTTTCGGGGGCAGGGAGACACACGCCTCTGTGTGTGGTTGCTAATAAACAGTTTTCTTTTGCTTGGATGATTTTGTCCCCTTTCATTGCATTTAAAAGTTACTGCCTTTCGAACAGAGGGAAAGGCAAAAATAAAGTCAGGAAGTCAGGTAAAGGCAAAAATGAAGTCAGGAAAAAGACAAGTGAATGAGGATAGAAGACAAGTGAATGACAATGCTGAATGAGGATAAGGTTCAATTATTTTCTCAGCGACTTGGGTAAGAGTAGAGTTGGTATCTCCTTTTTCCATTAGCTTTAAATGGGTGCTTTCTTGTCATTATTGCCATCTTATTTAATACCATTGCAGAGGCATGTCTGGAAAGACACAACAACAGCAAATGCTTCTGGACCAGAGACATTGCTTCAAGAAGGCTCTGCCCTGCTTTGTCTGCCTTCTCCAGTCACACTGTTGTTACACCAGAGACACAAGCAGGTCTTGTGTGTGACTCCATGAGGAGACACAGTCTGCTGAAGGGAGTGGCTGCAGCACACTGTGCCTTAGTTGTGCCTTTCCCTGAGGTGTTCCCAAGGCCCCTCTCCAGGGCAATCCTTAACCTGGATTGTGTTCCGTGTCGCTTGCTGCCAATTTCCTGCTCAACAGCCCACCTCGGTCACCTACCCCTTTGGACTGTGCTTTCTACTGAGCCAGTCCTGCCAGAAAAGCAGCTTTAAACACAACTCTAAGTAGGCACTGATCCAGATAAAGCACATCCATTCCCTTCTGCCCAGGGCCAGTCCCCTGGACATCTGGCAGCCTGCAAAATCTAACACCCCGTCAGGGTCCCAACACATTGTTCCAGCCCAAAGCAGTCATGCAATTTGTTTTGCTCAATCTGAAGTCATTCCTGCAGGTCCTCGGCCTCAAAGGCCAACGCTGCCACTGTGGAGGGAATGCTGTGACCCCAAGCATTTGATGGTGACCACACCAAAGCAAGAGGTGGCTCCTTCAGCAGGAGAATGGCAAATGGCAATTTTGTGCCTTTGCGTCCTCAGCCTTCCCCCCCTGGTTTTAGCAATGGCAGCTACACTCCAGCACAGCCCAGCAGCTTCAGCAGAGGTCATTTGTGTTGGCTTAGTGCAGATCAGGACTCCCAGTCCACCACTCCCAGCAGTTTGCAATGACAACAGCACCTGGACACTGAGGTCTTTTGCTGGAGGCGAGCCTGTCACAAGCACTCACCCTCTTCAAACTTCATGTTAAACAGAAAGGAAAAGAGCGGGAAAAGGCTACCTTTGGACGAGTCTCACTCATGTCGACACATGGGCCAATTCTGGGCAGAAAACTCCCCCCAGTGCTGGCCTCCTGCTTTGAGTTGACAAACTTCTCCCTCTGGAACTTAGAGGGAAGCAGCTGAAATGCAAAAACAAAAAAACAACAAAAAACCAACCAAAAACAAAAAAAAACCAAACAGCAAGAATGTCAGAGATGTGCTTGTTCAGAAAGGCTTTCCTTGAACAAGTGGCACTGATGAATAATTTGTGATCACAACCACTAGGACAGTTCTGGAAACCCTGGAAGTTGCCTGCTGAAATACTTAGCACCAATAAATTAATAATACAGAGTGCAATAGGCATACTCCAGCCACATGGCTCTGTGCCATGAGTCTCTCTGTGATTTGATGGGACATGTTTGGGGATTTCTGCTCTTTGGGCATTTGTTTCCTCTTCCATTTCACTGGATTGAGGCAGTGACCTTTCCAGAGAGTGGGGAGGAGCTCTCAGAACTGCCTGAACTCCACCCCTGCACAACACTCAAAACTCCCAGGCAGGAGATAGCACTGCTGGCTGAGTCCAAGGGAAGCAAGCAAGACAAGCTGTAGCAAGAGTGAGGTGCACAGGAATGTGTCCAAGTTTTAGCTCTCTCTGTTACTTAGCATTGGTTTTCTCTGTCTGGGCTGACAGAGCCCTCGAGAGAAGAAAACAGAGGGATGTCCTTGGCAGAGCCTCAGCAGTGGGGCATCTTCAGTCAAGTGAGCTGCAGACAGCAAGGGACCTTTGTGGCCCTGGCTCCAGTGCTGCCTGCAGGGCTGCATCTGTGCCCACCCAGGAGCTGGGAGAGAACAGCTGCTTTGGAAGCTCTTCCAGCTGGGACCAGCCGTGGCTCTCAAGGCTTGGGGCAGAGTTTGAGCTTTCCCCCTCACATGCCCAGGTGCCCAAGGGCAGCTTGGTCAGAGCAGCACAGGTGAGTGCCCAGCCTGACAGAAGGAATTGCTGTGGCAAAGGGGAAGGAAAGAAGCCCATGCTGAGGGCTTCAGCTGTACATTGGTTTCACTTGGCTCTGCTGGCACAGCCAGGCAAGGCGCTGGGCTGTCCCTGACACATCCCACAGTGCTCCCTACTGCACCAGGACAGCCCCAGCAACAGGAGCATGGCACAGAGGGCTGGGGAGGGGCTCTGCAGCTTCAGAGCACTGCTGGACAACAGGGGCAGGGAGAGCAGGGACACCAGGGCAGTTTCCAGCCTTAACACAGCCCCAGGGGCTACTCACAGTATTAGGCTTAAGTCCTTCCCTAAGCAAAAGTCGAGGTGTTGGTGTCCTTCCTGGGAATCCAGATGCCATTGTGAAGTGATGATGTCACAGATGAGTGACAGTCCCTCAACAGAACTGGAAGGAACAACAATGGAACTCTGAAAATCCAGAACCCAGTTCATGGCAGACTCAAGGCATATACTGGTGCTAAAGATTTTCTATGATTTGAAAGTAGCTATGTGCTTGTTTGGCATAAGCAGCTAGTATTGTTAGGCCTCTAGTTGGACTTTATTTGAACTACATGGTTACCTTGTGCAATTCATTAAAGATGGATCATACTGAAACCTGGAGCTAAAATGCTCAACATTAAAAATACTTAGAACAATCAAAGCTGTAGCTTAAATATTATTTAAAAACAGCTTGAGTGGACCTCCTCTTCTTAAGGCTAAACAACCCCTGCTCTCTCAGCTGCTCCTCACAGGACTTGAGAGAGACTGGAGTGTTATGGTTAATGGCTTAAATATTGCTAGAAAGGACTTTTTGCCCATTGTGACAAAATTGAATAAAGAAGCTGAGACCCCCAAGCCCACCCTTCCCTGAAAATGCCTCCTGACTGGAACTTGGCACTGTGAGTTAAGCTGCCTAAGGGAACTTGAGACAAGATAAAGCTGACACTAGCATCCCATTAGCTCAGGTCTGGGGAGAAGTGAACAAGGCTGAGGGAGAAAAATACATGCCCACTAAAGCCAGACCCAGCAGCTGTGCTGAAAACCAGCTCTGTCTGCCTTCAGGCTGGGGAAGTCATAGCCACAGACTCGTCTGCTGAGGCCAGGTTTGCACTCAAACCTCCCATCAACAGAGGGGGGAGGAGGAAATTCTGGGCGTGTGGCACAACCTCTGCTAAGGGGCAGTGGACACCCATCCTCCCTCAGGCAAACTGGCTCAGCTCTAGAAGCCCCCAGCCCCAGAAGGCCACATCCAGGGGACCTTCCCATGAGGGGCAGCTGAGGGGGTGTCATAACCCATCAAAGACCTCCAAAGTGCCCCCAGAGCCATTCCTGAGGCCTTGCACCAGACGACTGCAGGGCATGCAAAGTAACACAACAGATCTGAAAAGCCACAACCCAATTCAGGGCAGACTCAAAGGATATCCTAGTGCTAAAGATTTTATATTATTTGAGAGTAGCAAGAGACAGAGCCAAACTTGCCCCACCCCAGGGAGCTACCTGGGCAGTGCCACCTTGCCCAAATCTGCATTAATCCTTTGGAGTCTTCCATTTTGTGAGGCCTCACCACAGAGAAGACCAGAAGAGGATTGAATGGGATGGGATCCATGGAATGGTGATATTTTCTACTAAATCTCTCTCTGTCGCTCTCTTTCTTCCCCCCTTCCCAGCTCCCACCCTCCCCCCTCCTTTTGCTATTTCTTTCTCCCTCTCTCTTCCTTACATTTACTGTTCCATAAAATCCAAACTATTGACTTTGGCACATGGTCATGTTTTGCACCTTAATCCAGGGGCATCTCCTTAATAATTTTAATAACTAGATCATAACAACCCCCTGAAACTTGAACAGAACTCATTCACCTAGAAGTAGTTTAAATAAATACTATAGGAAAAA